GGGGGTGAATTTTTGTTAAAAGCCGATGACAGCTAATAATTTATAGGGGACCCTTCTGATTTAAGTTCATGGTCGCTAAAGTGACCATGAGCTTATAGCAGAAGGGAGAAAGCCACTGACGTAAGGCTTACTGAGCTGGCCAGCTGCAAGCGGATGAATTCCGCCGTAAGCCGTACGTCCGTGGCAGGGAGAGATTTAACCTTTACTTGGGTTAGGGTTCAAAGGGTTAAAATTTCAACTTGCTTATCTTTCTCTGCAATGTTAGGAGAGGCTGTGAAGGGTGAGGAGTCTGAGGTGGTTTGACCATTGTATGTTAATTAAGTGAATGAGAGAGAAACAATCCTCAAATTTAATTCCGAAGTCTTTCCTAGGACAGATCACAGTGAAGGTGCTGAGAAAAAAATGGAATTGGCCATCTTGTCGGCTTTAACAAAACATCTTAAAATGTAAGAAATATTTTTTTTAAATTTATTTTTCTTTATGCTGTGTGAATAGGAACACATAATAAACATACTGTATATTCACTGACAAACATTTCACTGCAAAAAGTGGAAATACACTTTAACATTGCTTAAATGTTATCCTCTTCTCCTTTCGCTGACACTGTTAGCACCCAGGGTTTGTTTATTAAATTGAGAGTACAGTGTATATTCTGGGTGTCCATGTTTGAAGTGATTGCAGTAACTAATTTAAAGCAAAACTTTGGAGGTGCCTTTCACATTTTACATGCTTGCCACATGCAGAGGGGGGGGGGGGGGGAAGAAGCCCATCACGATGCAGGGAAATTCATTACGCAAGTGCTTTGTGGGCGTTTTGGGTGGTGCGCAAGAGGTATTTTAGGTTGTCAGCTATTAAAGCTTTTATTTTTTGAGCGTTTCCCCAAAGGCAGACTTAAACTGTTATTTGTGTTCATGCTTTTACATATTTTCTTACTTTTATAAACATTTGTACTGTACATATGTCTTAACTGTAATCCTCTGCAAGGTCTTCAATGGCAGTCTCAGGTGTCTATTAGTATGGCTCGATATTTAGAGGAATATCATTTAAAAGCGTGCATCATGGAGACAATTCTCAAAGGACACCCTGGTTTCTAGAGAACACTCTGCTGTAAACAAAAGAACTCTGTTGCCATTTGAAGAATCCCTTTAATGACTAGGAGTGCAATGTAACATATGATACAGGATAACATGTCATTAGAATTTCACTGCTTCATGCCCAGTTATGTGTGAAAATCTAATAGATTCTGCAAAAATTGGATTTTCCAGGTCACAATCTTCAACCACTCCTATCATCACTAGTTATTATCTATTCATATAAATGTTAGCATAATTGTTTAAAAAGGTAATCCAACAACATACCTTGAGGAAAAACCTTTTGTCGGTCCTTGCAGGGTTATACGAGGCTAAATATCCAGCAATGAGCAAAAATTTGGAGTAATAAGGCAGTTCCACATGAGCATGGGCAGACAATCCTAAGAGAACACATCACATGCATTACTTTCATTACTGTTCATTAATTATTCAGATGCTATTGAAGGTGAGGCCAAAGTAAAGTGGTAACAAGGAAGAGAATCAAACCATCAAATTCCCATATTTCAGCTGTAGGTAGATGTCTGTGAGCTAAATTATCTGCAGTCTCTTTCATCTTTAAGAGACTGAAGCCTACCCCCATAGAGCTTTGCTCTGCTCACCAGCCCCTGGCTTGTAGTCTCTCTTCTCTGGCTGTAGTATATAATGCCCTGCCGCACAGATAGAAGGTGGGAAATAATGTACTCTGGGCCAATCAGGTTGTATTGCACTGTAGAGTGCTATCAGTCTAATATATTTTTAGGCACTAAGATCCAGAGATAGGGCGGAGTATAGAGAGGACTTTAGCAGTGCGATGATGTGTCCTCATAGGTCAATGAGCTGGACAGAGGTGGGGAGGTGATAAAATAAGCTGCAGCTGCAACAGTAAATAATAGTGGTGTGTGAACCAACACTAGCTGAGAATTAAAGATACTTTGTCCAGCTGAATAATCTGCATCATTTTTTAACTGTGTACTTAGTGCCTAGGCTTGAGGTTTAGTCTATAAAGAATTAAACAAGTAAGCTATGAAAACTGCATTAAACCCCTTTCACATGACTGGTACCCATTCTGTCTCAGCAGGGGATTAGTCTAGGATCTCTTGTTGAGTCATAATTGAGACGGATGGCACATATGTGACGCATGTCTCTGTTCCGATTTTTCCTCCAGCTTGGGTTGGAGAAAGCAGACTCCTGTAATCACTATGGGTGGTCAGATGCTAAAGGACATGAATCCACTTATATCTACCTACATCCGGTCTGCTCAGAAAAAGCGGACCTGGGTCCAAACTTTTTGCGTTTGGTCTAATGGACCTAAATGGGCGGATATAGACAGATGCACATCCGCTTATATATGCTCATCCATAGGATTGTATTGCAATCCATTTTTAATTGTGTAATCAAGGGTCAAAACACAGAACAGCTGTGCAAAATGGGCCTTACAGGTGTGACAGTTTATATATCAGATACACACACACGTAATATTACATATATCAAACTATATAAAGACCTTTCAGTTGTGATGCTTCGCTATCCTCTTGTTGTATCCTTTCCCACTGTGAACTGTTCGGAGAGAAAAAGAAAATAGCATCTGTTTATGTGCCTGCAGTGACTGAAAGTGATATACATTTGTTACACTGCAACTTAGATGTTTATGTTCCTAGATAGAGATGGATGATTACATTCCAAGAAACCGTACACTAACGTCATTCCGAGCTGAGATGCTTAAGTGGAGGATAGAGAGTCATATATTCACAAAATAACCTTCTATCATCCAGCGGAGAAGCAGAGACTCAGAATTAGGAGACCTTAATCGAATTAATTAGACTGAGTGATCTGTGCAAGGCTCTGGCTCAGATTCTGATAAGAGCGAGCGCTTTCTAACCTTGGACAAATCCCTCCCCTCTGCATTTCTGAGAGCTATGTAGTCTTTCTCAGCCACTGACATGCCCCCATCTCAACAGCCAAGCAAGAAAAACTTAATTGGAAAAAAATTAAAGATGCACACTGGCTTAGCATGAAAATCCATCGCTTAGGGCTCATTCACACCAGATGTGTTGGGGATGCCCTAGGCAAGGCTGCAGCCCCAACACATAGACAAGGCAAAAAGCCAGGATCAGCATACCAGCACTGTTCCTCCCAGAGCACACCAGTGGCTCCACGTGTGAAGGATCCCCTAAAATAAATAATTATTGCATATATATATATATATGTATATATCTATA